TATGCGTACATCTACAAACATACATACATACACACACACACACATACACACACACACACATATATATATATTTCTATATATATATATATATTTGTATATATTTGTATATATTTATATTTATATATATATATATATTGTGTGTCCAATACGCATCCCTTGTTTGTGTTTCTGCAGAGCCAACTTGATATCTTGAAGTATCTCACGGTCATTACTCCATAGAATGTCCATGATATAGCAGTGTTGGATAGATGTATAGCTTTCCGGCTAGAGTGAAATATGCTGTAGTTGAAAGTTTGAAAAACTCAAACAACACTATCGCTGTCACTGATTGTACTGTTTGCATTTTTTGTTTCGTTTTTGTTCCGCCTTTTCAATTGCGCAGTTCAATAAGACCAGGTTACCGCGGGATGTGAAGGGGCGGTTGTCCGATGCGCTCGTAAATCTGCCCAGATTTGTTGACTACAAGAGACAGCAAGCCTAGTACTCACAGATCCAGCGGGCCAGATGGATAGAAGAACGGTCTTCTATCGCCCCGAAACAGCAACCAGTTTCTACTGGTACTGGTTGGAACACAAATTTAGTTATAGCCTTGTTCACTCCAAATTGGTTAATAAATGAAGCAAAGGTGCACACATAGTCTATGGACATATAATCGCAAGACCGTATTCTGACGTTGTATGTTTCGAGTTCAACTGTCGCTGCTGCATCAGCTTCGGGTAGCGCTTTCTGTCACTAACTAGACTATGAATATGGCTGATTGATCCAACGCTTCTGACGGTCGTGTATGAATAGCCATCTTTTGATGAAGTCTGTTTGACAGCCCCCACATATGCACTAAAATGCACCATAACACCTCCACTGGACGAATTTCTGAAAGAAGGACGAGGTAGTAGTGTGTAGTCATAGCAGACGAATCGCCACGGGTATACGCGCGCACACACGCAAAAAAAAAACCACACACACTTCCGCACATACTCTCGTGCACACTAACATATGTATATA